ACAGATCATTATATTATTCCTTTTTTTGAATGTACTAACCAGAAAAGTCCCTGACCAGCTCAGCCTCTGATATTCAGACATGGATATCATCACAGGAGGAAAATCTCACATATCAAAACAAAATATTGCTATCATCAGAACCACCACATTCACTAACTCCACATTGTTATCCAAGGAATACTACAAAGAAATACTTTTCCATCTCTCCATTCGAACAGGAGCCTTATAAAGCTGAGGTTTTTGGATTTTGACTTTTCTGATTTCACACCTTTTTTTTTTTTTTTTTTTTTTTTTTTTTTTTTTTTTTTTTTTTTTTTTTTTTAACTCTGACTATTTTCCAGATAATTCTTGGAAAGTCGTCATGCTGAATGCACTTCGAATCCCATCTTTTATTTGTAAAGCAACCCTCGGACGGGAAATACAATTTTTKTCATTATTTTAGATTAGTGGAACCTGTTACAATTTTCTTTTTCTTCAAAGTGCAGTTTTTAAGGAAAGGTTTGTCATAATCAAATCGGAAATGCTGTCCAGAAAGTAGCAGGGTGTGACACCACATACCAATGACACATCAGGGTAATGATGAATATTATAACCTATAAAGTATCACATTTTGTTTGTTGCAAACAGAAACTTGCCAAAGACAGCATGTTCTAGCTAGAGCTGTGAAAAAAAAAACCCTAATCTTTGTTTCCAAAGATCTGCATGAAGCCATGGCAATTTTTATGAATATTTGCAAATCAAAACCAGATTAAAGTTTCAAAAATCTTTTTTTTTGGGTGCAATGTTAAATTAAATGTTCTCTAAACAGATCAGAAATTCAATGAGATTTGAGAAATACTTTCCCCCCCAGCAAGGCACTTTTAGATTGAAAATAATTTTCTGAGATGATCTGCCTCTCTTTTCTTTTAATCCTTTCTGAAGAAAGAAATACTTCCCGTGTTCATTCAGAATAAAAATAACGGCGAGGAAAATTGTATTCCAAATGTTTAACTTTTCATGAAACAGGTGAAAAGTTATTACATGCTGGTGAGATTTTTTAAATAGGATCTTTATTCCTCGCTTAAGGGGGGCAGAGAGWGAGGAAGAGAGAAGAGATGAATGGCAGTGACATCTGAAAATATACAACTCCTTTATATTAAGAGAGTTTGGTCATATAAACCTTCTGTCTTGTTGCTCTGAGACCCTTTAATAATGTTTGATACCACTAAAGTTTATTGTTTTTATTCATGAAAGAAAAGAAAAATAAGAATTTTAAATAATAGGCTGATCATAAACCTGAGCTCAATGAGTGATGAAGGACTATTTTCCTCTGGGGAATTACAGTAGTTGGAAGGGTTTGTTTGAATGCAATCCCAAGTTAAAAAAAAAAACAAAAAAAAAACCCCAAACAACAACAAAACAAACAAACAAACAAACAAAAAAAAAACCCACAAAAAATCACCAAGAAACCAAACAAAAAAACCTCAACAAACCCAACCCCCAGAAAAAAAGGCCAAAAACCAACCCCAAAAACAAATTTAAAAAAACAGAAAACCCAAAGAACAACAACAACAAAAAAAAACCCCAAAAACTACAAACAAACAGAAAAAGAAACCAATGCCCCCGCCAAAAAAGAACACCCAGAAAAACACCCACGAAAACCAAAACAAAAAAAGCCTCGACAAAAAAAATCAGAAAACTAAACAACAATGGACAGAGGATATGTAACAGGGTTAACACATCTAAATGACAGATGACTCWTCAAGAAACTTGTGAAAGAAGGTGCTAACCTTGATGTATTACCTGGAAAGTCCTGATTGTCAGGGAAGTAATATTCTGTGAATTCAATATGGATTGCAGACACTTGATCAGGGAGTTTGAAGATTTTCCTGCTACATGAAAGCAAGGTGGAAGGTTTCTTACTTTGTTGCCCAGCTGTAGAAACCTGAAAACAGAATGAAATGCAGTTGAACAGAACTCAGACTTGGCAAACCCAAGTGTCCCAGTGACCCCACAGTTACACGGATYCAATCCACCTCATTTACACATCAAACATACGCTGCTTTCAAGCAAAAATATAATTTTCTTCCACCTGCTGATATTGCCAGCTCCTCTCCTTTGAGGGAATTTAGTTCTTTATGCCTCCTGTCACTGCTAGTAAGAGCTGTGACAAGCAGAATTAGGTGATGTGAGCAAACAGAAYAGAAATCTATTCCAGCTGTCTGCAAGATCAGCAGCACGCTGGCAAATCCATTGTAGTATCTGGTGCTGCAAAGAGCAAAACCTGCTCTTGGATGGAAAAAGGGCACAGGGATGAAGGGTGTGATCCAGGCTAGGGATGCTCTGTCCCARGGCAGAAAGCCTGAGGTGAGACTGTCAAAAATCCACATCCTCAATGACTTCTCAAAGCATGGAATGCCTTACACTGGGCCTGTCTAAGGCTTGGTGTGAGCTCAGATGGGGACAGAGAGTAGAAACCCATGGTTGTGGTTACCCTCTGAACATGAAAACTATCATCAGCTCATTCTTGGGCTAAAAGTCTTACAGGCAACATCATAACAGCACTTTAGGTTCCCCAGGCAGCATTTTGGATGTCGTAGTGATGCCTGATGATTTTTGCTTTTCCCTTTACGCTTCYGTACCCTCTATGCATCYGCCTGTACCCCTTARCCCACATGCTTGTAATTCCTGGAGCCTGATATTCCAGCTTAATTTAAGAGYTCTGCTAAGCAAAGAGACCAAACATCCTGAGGAAAGAGTCAGTGTGCCCTGTGCTATCTTAAACCCGAGGCTCCAGSCTTGAGTGAAGCCTTYTSTCCRGAACATCTTGTGTAAACTGGGCTCTRGCCTCATCCTGGRAGGAGGATTCATTAGAATAAGGAGACATTACTGCATTTGTTAAGTTTCTTATTGAAGAATCCTAGATAGATATGCTAATTCCTGAAACCTATAAAACTTTTACCCGTGCTGTACATGGGTGTGCATTCTGCCATCAGGTTGTGCACCTGGGATCCCAAATACCGAGGTAAAACCCTTTTTATCCCCTTAACCGTGTCTGTGTCATTATTGAAAACTGGCCATTCAAGGCAACAGTAAGATTTGCATGATTTATTTGAATCACATCTTGTTAAATTTCCTTTTTTCAGAGTGCCATGAACGCCTGCAGGCAGTGCTGAGCTCCCTACCTGGTGCACATCCAGGTCATCCACTCGCACCACCACGCAGCTGGAGCGCAGCCGGTGCCAGGGCGGGTGCCGCAGCCGCGGGAGGCTCGTGGGRGGAGCCCGGCCCTTCTCCGGGGGGCTCTTCTGGGGACTCTGGGGAGGCTCTGTGGGGACACACAGTCAGCACCAGCATGGTTGGAGTCACCTCCTTGCACCATCAGAACCAACAGATCAGTGCTTACTGATCTGTGGTAAGAGAACACATCCTTCAGCCAGGTCTTAAGCATTTAATTTCATCTTATATTCCCACTCCTGGAGAAACGCAACAATAATCCAGGAAGGGGTCACTGCAGCCTGTCCATCCTTGCTGCAGTGCTATCCCATGATGACAGCCACTTTCCTTTGCCATTATAKTTATGATTTTTAGAGTGCTATGCATTCCTGCACCAACAAATCAGTCTGCTTAACTGGGGACAGGCAACCGGAGATATTGCTGGATGGAGCAAAATTGGTATCACCTCCTGTTTCACCAGTTTATCAAACACCATTACCTGGTTTCTTTTTGAAGGGGGAAAGTGGAGTCCTGCCAAACACAGGGTCTGTTTCTTCATAAAACTTCTCCATCTTGCTTTGAAATTCACTGACCAACTTCTTTGCCCACTGTCCCCGTGTCTCCATTGCTTCACTGTACCGCACCCAATGCTTGCAGGCGTCTCCTGCAGGAAACCAAACATCCTGGTTTTAAAAAATAGGTTTCTTTCTTCCAGTCCAGCCTGCAATCATAGGGCAGGACTGTTCTTTAAACTCCTTTTTTATCCCCCTCCTCAAGTTGYGAGGCCACAGGCTCCCTACCTGCCCTGTGGAAAGGATAATAATCAAAAGCCATCCTCCTGAAGGTCAGCTGGATGGCACCTCCCAGCATCCCATGYTTCAAAGCACCTGTGGGGAACAGAGGAGAGGAAACCATGGTCAGCTCTGCAATCTGAGCCTTGATCCAGGAGAATTCAGAACCACATTGCTCTGATTGCCACCACTGACTGACACCATGGCCAGGATGTAGGTACCATCTTTAGGAATCTGCACCAAAATCTTGTCCTAGGCAAGCAGAAGGACACCAGAATCAACCAGCCAACAGTTTATAGGGTAAGAACCAGACCTGGAAACTCAAATCCCAAACTGCAAGACCCCAGTGCTTCCCAGACAGAAAACTGCTGCCTCAGCTGCTGTTTTCCTTTCTCCTGACCTGCCTCACGGGTGTGGCTGTCATCGCAGATGTGCAGGTCCAGGCGGGAGATGAGGAGGTGGTAGGAGGACTCCTTCATGTCGTGTTTGTCAAAGTACTGCCCGATGCTGCTGGCGTTGGGGGCGGCTCCRAAGGGCTGAGCCCAGGACTGCTGGGCACTGGGAGCAGGGGGGGTGACCTATGGGAGGGGGACAAGATCCGTGAGAACTCGGAGAGAGGGAAAACACAATAAATATAAAGCAATTAACCAGCTCATGTACACTTCCAGCCTGCAAGGCATCAGCTGATAGGAATTGAACCAGGATTCCCAAGATCTGGATGCTTTCCTGTGCTCTCAGGAGCATTTCCTTGTCTATGGCTCTGCCAGCTGCATGCACTTCTCTTGGGAGATGTTTTAAGATTCCCAGGCCAAAAGGGTCAAGTATTCCCCATCCCTCCTATGCAACCTCACTGCACTGCGTGTGCATCCCTTCTTCCCCAGGGCTTCCAATTCCAGCAGAAATATTCCCCTTCCCTTCCCCTTGACTTGGAAAACATATTTTATTGGCAATGAATCCCTTTCTTTGGTCACTTTGCTGCTCCCACAGCAGCCCATTGTGACATTGACCTGACACCACAAGTTTCCATTAGGGAAAATGCTGTGAGTACGGGCCAGATCTCACACAAACACACTGTCCTTTTCCCTAGACCAATATCCAAACTCTCTCACCTGTACAGCCTCTGGTGCCAGGCTTTTCCTCTGCTGAGCAGATTTCTCCATGGCTTCACTCAGAGACTCAGCATATTTCATCATTGCTTTTAACTGAGAGTCTGTCAGCACCCAGAGCAGGTCATCCARCAGAAACATCAGCTTGGAGGCCACCACGTTGCAATCTTTGGTCTGAAASAGCAAGGAAGGAGTAATGGATTTCAAAAATTGCCTCCACATATGTAGAGTCTTCATAAAACATGGAAGGAGAAAGAAGGAAGGCTGCCCTGAAACTCCTCTGAGAGATGTTATCTGGTGCACGTCCACAGCACCTCCTCTCAGATGGAAAATAGTCAAAGCCACCTCCTCTTTAGGAGACAAATTTCTCACTGTTTAATTCTTTCTTTCTTTTTTTTTTTTTTTTTTTAATCATCACATTCCCACTGACAGCTGAAAATCAGACTGCCAGGCTTTCAGCTCCCAGCCAGGAGATGACAGCTCTCCTTGGGATGTTCAAATGGATTGAAAAACTCACTCCAACCACGATATCCTCCCCTGGGAAAGAAACTGCTTTGACATTTGCTAAGAACACAGCTGTCTCTGACAGAAAACATGGAGAGATACRTCAGTTTGGGCTCAACGTTTCTGAAGAGAGAGAAGGGCTGCTGAGGACTGTGGGAGGGAATATGTATCATCTCTGCACCATGCAGTGAAAGCACATCCTGCAAAGCATGGAGGAGACTCTCACCCTTCTCTTGAGAGAGATTTGGATCCTCCCCTGGTTGGTGATGAGTCTCAGAGGAGTAGTGATAGGATCCTGGTCACCATTGTCSGTGGCATCTGCCTCTATCCTCAGGGTCTGCCAGGTGAGCTCCTTGAATGTCAGAACCTGCTCAGGAAGAGAAAAACAGGAAAACGCTGAGATTTTCCCAACTTCAAGGATTAAAACAAAAAAAGGAACAGTCAGGAGGCATGAAATGAAATAAGACAAAATCATTAATCACTCTTTTTCTTGTGTGATCCAAGGCCTCACCTCTCCCCTCTGTGGGTCTGTGATGCGGGTGAGGCGCAGGTCGCTCTGCTGCCAGTTGGGGTTGACACTGTAGCCCTGGAGCTGCCAGAGCTCAAAAGAAGCATGAAAGGCCTTGGAGTGAATCTTGATGGTGATGGAATTGACAACAATAAACATCCCCTCCACGACTTTCTCAGCAAAGCCATATTCACTGCAAAGAGAAGATACTCCCATGTAACAACAAGAAGCCTGGCAGAGGTAAGGCTCACACAGAGGGCAACACCAACTAAGCAACACCAGAGGCACTCAAACCTGAGAGCAGGGAGGCCAAAGGTGAATCAAGGAGAAAAACAGTCCCCACAGCCCAGCAGGATGGCAGGGAGAAGCTGCAGGGCTCGGGGTCTGACCTTTGTCCAGCAGCAAGAGCGATGGGGGATTGTCCATTGGGCGGCCGAGGCTCCTCACACGTCCTCATCTCCACCTCCACCTTGTCCAGGTACTGCAGAGACACAACGTGGCAGCCATGAGCACCACACCGAGCCACCAGCTCAGCCCACCAGCCTTGGCTGTGAGATCCAGGGCAGGGACAGCCAATTYTGGAGTCTCAATGCTCCAAGAACCTCATGTGTTAAAGCTCTCACACCATCARTGCCAGTGGGTAACCTGAAACCCCAAGAGTGGGGTAAACAAACAACAAAACACAGACGCCAGGTTGCTCTGGACTTCCCTGAGAGCTCCATCCTGCAGTGAAATGGGGCACTCACAGCCAAACAGTGCTCCCACGTGCTAARGGCCTGGAGGATTCAGGTCCAATGAAAATTTGAGCAATTTAGGGTTTCCCTCCCCAGAATTTCTCAAGTAGAAGTAAAAGAGAATAAAATGAGCGAGGAAGAAGAGGAAGAAAAGAAGAAGGAAGGAAGAAGGGAGAAAAGAAGAAAAGAAGAAAAGAAGACAAGAGAGGCAACATTACCAGGCAGATTGGGTGCGTTTTCAGCTTTGTCCACTGGATCTGAAACGATAAATTTGAGTTATCAGAGTGATCCGTGCACTGGAAAGTTTCAGAATCTGCAGGAAACCATCTCAGCCCAAACTTTGAGCCCCGTTTCTCTGAGAAATGTCCACAACGTCTCATTGTATCCAGGTCAAGCAGAGACACAGACAAGGAAAAAGACATTCCAGACACCAGATCTACAAACTCAGCTGAGCTTTTGGATCTCATGTATCGTCAGGAGTAACAGATATTCTGCAGGTCAAATTCTGCTATGGGGAACATTCCTGGCCTTTAATAGTTTACAACTGACTGCTGCTGTTACTGGGAGTCAGACAACTCTTTTGAAGACTGTGCACAAATCAAAAAGCTCAATTTTATTTTCATACAGCAACATTCACTCTGCAGCTCTTGTAGGAGGGAGAACAAATGTTTGTTACTAAACTGAGCAGATCTGACTCTAAAAACAGAGCACATCAGATGAGTAAGACGAGCTCATTTTTACTGTCACTTGGCAGAGTAGAATCATATTTCTTTTATAGAAAGTCTCTTTGATGTCCTTAAAACTTTTGAGTTCGTGTAATGCAACGTGTAGTACCATGTGCAATTAAACAATCTGGCAGCTCATAACAACTAAAAAAAAMCAATTTTTTTGCTCTAAAAAGAACAAGGAGGAAGATTTGTAAGGTTTCAGTGTGTAAAGTGGGAGCCCACGGACAATCTAAGAAATTCTGCCAGTAAATAGATAACTTCATCCATTSCAAGTTGCCTCTGCTCACCCTGATGGAGGCCTTGTTGCAGTAGACCCGGGTGATGGCGAGCCAGGTGGGCAGCTCCAGCACATTCTGCAGCACYTCCTCATCCAGCTCCAGGTTGGTCAGCTGCCCCTGACCTTTCAGCGTGCTCAGGTTGATTTTGTCTGGGGAGAGGTTCTTGGTAAACCTACAAGGGAAGAGAGAGGAGACTCGAAAAACAGCTCCCAGCAAAGCTGCTGAGACTTCAGGAGCATTTCAGAGCTATTTTAATACCAGAGTCTGTTTGCTGTTTTGYTAAACCCTTTCTGACATTTTTAAACCCAAGGCAAGTTGCTTGCTCCAGAAAAAAAAAAATCTTTACACTCTGACATTTGCAGGACCTCTTTGTTTTAAACTAAATTCAGATTTGAGAAACAGAAAATTCCTTCTAAAGCTGTGGATCCTGGAAAACAGCAGAACTGCCCTAGGACAAAACCAAAGAAAACCAAAGCCAAACTCCAACAGCTCAGCAGGTTTGCTCCCCCCAGAAATGCCATGTCAGCTGGGAAAAGTTTAATTCTCTAGATTCTTTTCACCCAGGAAAGCAAAAGATCATTAAGAATGACTTTTGTGGCTGTCTTTTTTAAACACCACCCAGCTGCTCTCTGGTCAAGCAGCAACTCTCCTCCCTAAAGACTGCCCCAGCTCCCTCCTCTGTTTTTTTCTGATTAAAATTCCTCCTCCCCAGGGCTGCCAGTGTTCCATCTCCCTTGTGTGCAGCCCAGCACCTTCACATCCCTCGTGTGCCTGAGGTTTCAGTGTAATGGGTGAAACRTTTGCAGCAGAGGATCCTGGTGACAGAGCCTGACTTCACAAAAACCAGAGTGGCCCCTAAGGAACCAGAAGAGCCAGTTCAGAGGGCAGATCACAGAAGCTGTACAAGTGTTAGCAACACTTCTCCATGTCAGAGAATCCCTCTGTTCCAGCAGAACCGCTCCTGTCTCCATCAAAACTCACAAAAAAGGAGCTGCCACCGCAGGGGCAGGGAGCTGCACTCTGACATCACCAGATTCAAACTTCAAGAGTTCCTGCCAGACAACTTTCCCACCACTGAATCCAGGGCTTATTTCACACATTCCTCCATGCCAATRCTAATTCTCATTCTGTACAGTGGTCCAGAAAGCAGGATGGAAAGAAAGCCCCTATTGTCAGCATAAGCAGGAGCAGGCTCCCGGTCACAYGCTGCCCTGTTCACCCTCTCCCWGCACCCACAGCATGGGGATTGCTCTGGGAGAGGTGTGAGGAGCTTCTGGAACAGCCACAGCTCAAGGAGGAGAGGAGGAACTGCAGCCATACTGCTGGGATGCATCTCTCGGGGTGCAGCACAAACCTGGCTGAAGCACTGGGGCAGCAGCTGAGCCATCAGGCCCTGGCTTCCAGGGCAAAAGGGCCTTTCCARAGCAAACATTTTGTTGGAGAGAAAGTTTGACAGATGCTGAGATCTTGGTGTCAGCACTGCGCTAATGATGCAGCTCAGCTGCACGCAGCTGCCAGTTAGCCCACTGCTGCCAGTTTGCCCWCTGTCTTCTCCCTGCAGACAGTTCATGTGTCCTGCTGTCCCCTCCTGCCCTGAGCTGCAGGGACACACTGACACCTCACACCAAGTTTACATCACACCTGCCAGCACCTCAGGCCGACACATTCCCTTCAAMCTCGTCACTCCCTTTAAACAGAGGCTTCTTGTTTAAACACGCCCAGGGAGGTGGCAGAGGTCAAAGAGGCTTCTCAGCATCCACACCAACAAACTGAAAATTCCAGAGTGTGTCCCAGTGGCTGCTCCACTGGCAGGGAGCACTGAGAATCCAGATGATTTGAGTCTAGAGTCCTGTTGTGAGCACCCACAACCCCAGACATGGCTGAAAATCACAGCAAACCCCTCCAGAGGCAATACAGGAGCGCGCTCATGTTGTGTCAGAGAAGCAGCTCWGCTGAAAGCTGATGTCACCATGTCCACTTGGGACTGGATGCTGAGGATAAAGCAAACACAACGTGGACAGGTAATACAAAGCATTTAAGCTCCCAGGCTGGTGTGGGCAGTGATCAGCTCACGCTGGCAGAGCTTTCTCACACCTGCACTGAAGGATCATCCCTGGGCTCGGAGCCTCATCCCAGGATAAGCGTGCTCGGAGGGGAAGCTGCTTTCAGCTGGTAATGCAGAGGAAAAGTACAAGTGTTGCCTGTAATTCTATATTGGCATGTCTCTAAAGGGGGAGAATGATGCCTAAGCTTTTTATATATTTTTGATATATTTGTAGCTTTGTAGATTGCTGATGMATGGCCGTAGCTCCAGTATTTTTCCTACCCTTTTCCCCCAGATTTCAGAACAATAAGCTGACCTTCTAAACACATTCCTGAAATATTGTTTCATCTTACTCCAAGTGGGGGAGCTACAATAAGATATAAAAARTGGGGCAGAGAATCCCTTGGACCAAATCCAAGGGGCTGACCSAGGAGTGGGTTACTGGGGCAACTCAATCTCCTACTGGAWGCACYTGTTAGATATCCTAATTAATTAACCTTATAAAATTGTACAAATTTGATTCRGGGTGTGCCCATCAYCACCAGGACACCTGGAAGYTTCCAAATAAAGGTCTGCTTTTTATTTTTACTATCCTAACACTTTTGCAAGGGTTTTTTCTCTTTCCATTATAGGCAACACAAGCACATGTCTGACCCAGGGCATCACTTTCCCTTAGTGTGCAGGTGTATCAAAAATTCCACCACAGCGTGGAAGAACCAAAGCTGTGAAACARGACACTGTACAGAGTGAGGTATGAAACCTGATCCAGCCAAACCAAACAATTCTTTATCATCATCTCCAGGGAAAGGCTGCTGAGATCCTGCTGGGCAGTACAAAACCCACCTCCAGTGCTACCACACTCCATGCAGGAATAGTCTCATGAGGCATTCCAGATGCACCAAAATGTGCCATTCCACCCCCAAAGCAGAGCTTACAGTCCCACCCATGATGGAACAACAGAAGCTGCAGCTTCTGGAAAAATTAATCTTAAATGTAAAAAAAAAATCTTTCTTTTCAACCACACCTAAATTTCCATGGGTATGTTGCCTATTGCCAAACCCTGCTTTCAGCWGCTGCTCCCTACAGGAACCCCAAACCTTCCACTGGAATAATCTCCACATTTGAGCCATTTTACCACCCACATGTCAGACAGGGCTTACAGCAGGCCTCAGGTGAGAGTTTCTGAGAGCACAGAGTTCACAGGTGCCAGGGCTCTGTTGTCTCCTGAGAAGAACTGCTTTGGTCAGCACCAAGGGAGGAAGAGCAGAGAGAGCAGAACGTGTCAGATGTTTGCTGGCAGCCTCTCTCCATTCACACTCACCCACAGCAACGTCCTTGGCAGCACGGGCTGCTGGCTTAGGGAAAACTGAATGAAAATGGTGGCTATTGGGAAAACTGACACAGGAGGATATTTGCACTTCTTTTTTCTTTTTTTTTTTTCTGCAGMCCCAACAGAAGTCAAGCAGTGCTGAGCCAGTAAACTCACAGGGCAGCATTCCTTTTGAGCCTGCTGGGATTACCCTGACAAAAGTCARCCCTGAAAATCTATTTGCTCAATCATCAGCTCGAATATATATCAAAACATGATGTCACTACCGAAAACAATGAAAACAACTGCCCAATTCCTCAGCCTGCATATCCAGAGGCTACAAACCCACTGATTGCAAGAGGGAGTTTGGGTAAATCTGACCGCTGGCCCAAAGCCAGCCGAGAATCATAAATAAATTTATGTTCACATTYGTAGCTGTCTCGCCACACTGTCTCCAACTGAGCAATTGCATGGACAGATAATGTCAGAAGACATCTGAAATAATAAAACTACTCCTCAGATCCCTGACTCATTACCCTGCTGCCAAATGGATCAGGAATCCTTTTCCCAAATACTGAAAAGTTTCTGCCTCAGCCTCCTCCCTGCCKTTCTCCAGCCATCATTGGCATTTCTATTAATACCTTTGTCACTATGGCTATTATATGGGAGAGCTAATTAGCTGTACACCAGTGACCTTGATTTTGTTTAATGACAAGCAAAATCTCTTGGCAGAAGGAAGTGCATGGCTTGTGACACCAGGCACAGCTGCAGGGAGCAGCTGGAAAATCCATGCAAGYACAGGTAAGGCAAGRAGGGGGAACTGGTCAGCTCAGTGGGAAACCAGACTGGGAATGGCTGCAGATGAGGTTTTTGCCTCCACAAGGGTCACAGCAAGGGAAGAGATGAGGATTTTCTGCTTTGATTTGGAATACAAATATGTAATCTAAGCAACTATGACAAGAATTGGACATGGAAAAAACCCAACCCAAACAACTGTATTCTGACCAATGCAGATTTGCTCCATCCCAAAATTCTTTCAAGTCTTRCCTGGTCTGGTTTTGGACAGGGCGTTCAGTGGGATTTCCCTCTTCCTTGGGAAGACCTTCTAAAATCCAAAAATCTCTGTGATGTGACATTTCACCTCAAATTAAAACCTCTTATCTCAGGAGCCAAAGAGCATGTTTACTAGAGCAAAAGGTTCATGACTGCTAAAAGGAAAGGTCAGTGACTTTCCAAATCAGGGTTACTCTCAAGGAAAGCAGCAGCAGAAGCTTTAAGTGCGACACACATGACTGAGGATGAACTTAAAAATAATTTTTGAGGAAATAAAACTGGGCAAGTGATCAAAACTTCTGTAAAAAGGGAAAAAATAGCTGCCTCGAAGACGCACAGGAAGAACAAAAGGCTTTTTCAGGAAGAAAAGCCATTTTACCTCCACTAACTTTTGGTGTAGGCAGGGACCACTCTGTCTGAGAGTGGGCACACAGCTGCTCTGCAGACAGAGGCAGAGCTGCAGAGGAGGAAGAGAAACTCGCTGAATTAGCAGAGGATGAGACTATTGCATGAGATGGAGTTGGTATCACACCCAYTTAGCACAAAGCCATTTACAGTTTAAGGGAATCCAATCAACACCAAACTGCCCAATTGTTTTGAAAACAGAAAGCACCACAGTGAAAATCATCTTATCACCTGTGCACAGCTCTGTGTACYTCAGATCTCCTGGGAGGCAGCAACACCTTCCCAAGTGGACAATCGGCCTGATAAATTCACCCTGCTTGRGTTACAGGGCAAACAGTTTCCACGTAATGTGGTACCAGCC